ATGTGTCAGCGTGTATATAAGGCGGGCGAGTGCGAAGGAAGCCAGTCTCGGAGCAGCTTCCCTGCGCAGTCATGAACACTCGAAATTGCCTCGTGGTGAGTAGTCGCTTGAGGATCGCCTCTCGTGCTTGGCTGGGACTAGAGCCCCACTGGAAGGGCTTTTCCATGCTTCCCTCTGCTTGCAGGTGCTGGCTAGCGTGGTGGCCATGGCGGCAGCGCAGGGATACGGCGGCGGTGGCGGCGGCGGCGGAGGTGGTGGCGGCGGGGGGCGGTTCATCCCCATCGTGAAGGACGACCGCACGCAGAACGCCTACGGCGAGAACACCTTCGAGTTCGAGGCCGCCAACGGCATCGTCCGCTACGAGTCCGGAAAAGAAGACAACGGACACGTGCAGGAGGGAGGCTGGAGGTTAGTCACGTGCCCCTCGGGCTCAGGCCGGAGCCTCGCCTCTCATCACATGTCTCTTGTTCCCCAACATACTCTCAGCTTTTCTCGCCACACACATGACCACGCCTCCTCCACCTACAGGTACCAGGCGCCGGAGGGCATCCCTGTGGAGATCACCTTCGTGGCCGACCAGGGGGGGTACCAGCCCCAAGGGGCCCTGCTCCCCGTGGCCCCGCCTCTTCCCTACCAGAGGACGCAGTCCTTCGGAGGAGCAGCAGGAGGCGGAGGAGGAGGAGGATATGCGTGAATCTGAGAAGCCCACTTGCTGATTTCTTTGAGCTTCATCCCCCTTCATAGTCATCTTGAGGAGCTGGTCTCGATGTTGTCGCTTCATCGCTATTCACTTGTTTACTGATGCATGTCATATTTCCCAATTGGCTGATTTATTGAAATAAAGTAAATCTACACACATTTCTTTGTTTTCCCGTGTACATACATTTGGGAAATATGCGCAAGAATGTCTTTCTTTGCATTTGTGTGCACAGAAGTATTTGTATGCTAGCTTGCGTATGTATGTAGAGTATATACACAGATATAAGTATTTTTGTAAGCATGTGTGTAATGTAAACTTAGGTATATCTATGTGTATCTGTGTATATCTGGCTTTTTATTTTTCTACCCATCTATCTTTTTATATCGGGGGCAGAGCAACCTCCGGCCCACAAGGCTTAGCCACCCTGCTCGGCATTAACACCGCAATCTGGCCCCCCAAAAAATCAGTATGCTGACCCTCACCCTACTGTGATGTAGTGGCAATCATTCCTGTGTAAGGCTCTCCTAACAGTCAATATACATAATCAAAAAAGATATTTTGATTGTAAAAAAACACACAGCCACACACACATACGTACACACACGCACGCACACACACCCACACATATATAATGATCTGTGTGTATGTTTTCATTCATTAGTACCGAACGCATTTAGTATAGCTCAAACTGTGGGGATTGGACAACTATTTACTTTTCCACCCTCTTCTAGTAAGTTTCTATATGCAATATTTTCCTCGCATAAGAAAGATTTATTATTGTAATCTAGGATAAAAAGGTGTGCGGGCCACTGTCAACACAAATTGATCATTACATTTGCCTGAGGAATGGTTTGCACACTTAACAATAATTTTTTGTGTATAAAATCCCTTTATATATTTATGTATGTGATTGCATCAGGCAATCATGCACTAAAGAGTTCCTCATGGGAAGTCGCCAGCTTGTCCAGGGCTCATTTCTAACTCCTTATTGCTACACCATATTAGAGAGTTGGAGGGCCGGTACCAGGAGTCATAAATCCTCAGTCTCTGGGATCTTGCAAAGGCTTCGGAAAGGAGGCCTCTCACTACAGGAATCAGACCAACAGAAATCTTGTATTCAGCTTTATTTCAAGCAGATGCCGCATTGAAATCATCCAGAATGAAGTGAATATCTAGCTGAGGACTGCCACGGATGGCTTAAAACACTCTTTTCCCTTCATGTTTGCAAACATCGGGTGGGTGGAGATTGAAGCCAAATGATTACTTCAATCTCATTATGTCATGTCATTATATGCTCATCGACTGGATTTACCTATACATCAGAAGTCAGTTAGAGATAGCATTATCCTCATCGTCATCGTCACCTTCATGATCAGTATCATAATTATGATTTTAGGACATTCGGTGTATATTGTGTTCAAGTTCTAGATTCTATGATAATCAGTCATAAAGGAAGGAAAGCCTGATTCTCTCGCCTTATTGCTCTCCCTCTCACGCTGTATCTAATCATCTTCTGCCCTTTCTCTTTTCCCTACACTGTATATCGGTGGTCTTCATTGCGCGGCTCGCCAAGACCTGAGTGGCGGCTCGCAAAACAGAGAGAGAGAGAGAGAGAGAGAGAAATGACGCTCCTTCCGCACAGGAACTGTACGTGTAGGTTACGTAAAATCCAGTGCTCGGCGACCCATACTTTGCCAGTATCAAAAATATGTAAAAAATATGTAATTTAGTTTCTGTATATATTTTGTTCTGCTAATACTAATCCTTGTAGCTTACGAGGCATATGGCTCTCAATCTGAA